GTATACCTGTAATGCACATCCTTGATAAATCTTAGCTCTTATTTTCTCTTACTTATTTATAAAAAGTGTTTACCTATATTGAATGTTCAGTATTCACGCTTATAACTTGTGTCTAATGTTTAGTATTCAATAACTTAAGAGTGTTTACTTCATTTCTTCAGGCGTTGCATAATATTTTTTGGTTGATACTCCATCTTTCATCAAACTTAATTTAACTATATGACTCAATGGGATCACTATGTTACATCACAGATATTGAATACTGCACAGAGGGCTATTTAACTCACATTAACTTGAATTCGACACTCATTTTATTGTAGTTTCGTACTTTTCTTACAGACTTAAAGCTATGTTGTGAAGTTGATAATAATATTTTTTTTTTTTTTATTATTTAAGATGTATAGTGTAATTGGTTTTAACTTTTAAGCGCTTGAACTACTTAGGTTATATTTTTTTAACCTGTAAAGCTATAATGCTAAGCATTCCTCATAATGCTCTACATTTCTTCTCTGTTTTGCCAAGTTTAATTTACTTTTTGATACTAAATACTTGATATCTTGCAATGGTTTTATTTCTAAAAGATAACGTCTACATAATATTTGACTCTACGTTATGAAAGTTGATTGTACCTATAATATATTAATCGAAAAATAAAGACCGTCATCATAATGTATGGATTAATGGTTGGTAGCATTTTGAGTCTTGACAACATTTGTCAGTACAAACTTTTGATTTGAAAAGTTATTTATTATTTGTTTTATATAAATTGATATAGTTATTTATATAAAATACCTACAAGATTGAAAAACTTTTTTAAAGATAATTTATAATTTAGATACTATTGTAATTAATTGTAATGGTCATATGCTATTAAATAATTATTACCAAATGATATAATTTTCACTAAAAAAAAAAATGTTTAGCAATTTGAATTATATAAGTAAGTGTTATAGGTACGTTTAAACTAATAAATGTAAATTAAGATGGATATTATTATATATAATGAATAATAAGTTACTATACAACATGGGATATATGTAGGAATCCTAACTAATAAAAATGGTCATACAAACTCATGATTTTTCAAAAATCCCATGTTTGGAAAGATAACAATATCACAAAAATAGACCTTCTATTTGTTATAAACTTAGAATATCATTCATAATGTTTGTAAAAAGTAGGTAGTATAATTACGTTTTCAGCCATATAAAAGATAACTCACAGATGCATCAAAAAATATAACAGGCACAGGCTGTGCATTCATTTCTGGATCCGTTAAAAAACTATACAAACTACCTACTGAAGCCAGCATCTTCACAGCAGAAATAACCGCCATCAAAGAAGCAACTATCTACGTTGAATCCATCCACATAAAAAAAGCTCTTATCATAAGCGACTCTCTCAGTGCCTTAACTTCCTTACTATCTCCTAATCCGTCCAATGAAATCTCTCAACAAATAATCAATATTATAACTAACTCAAAAAATATTATAGAGTTTATGTGGGTCCCGTCACATACTGGTATCAAAGGCAACGAAGAAGTTGACCTACTAGCGAACCAAGCTATATCATCCACTGAATCAACTGTTATAAATTCGCTACCATATAAAGACCTATCAAGAATAATCAACCTAATCTCAAACAAACAGTGGCAATCACAATGGGACCGCTCCTCGGATAACAAATTAAAAAATATAAAAAAAACCATACAGAAATGGCGATCCCCCATAAACACAACCCGTAAAGCAGATATCGTCACAACTAGAGCCAGAATTGGCCACACACATCTCACCCATTCTTTCCTTTTCAACCATGAAGAACATCCAACCTGCCATCAATGTAACCTACCACTGACAATTGAACATCTCACACTCAGCTGCACCAAGTACAACAATGAACGAAGCATCTTAAACTTCCCCTCCAACATCGAAGAAGCACTCGGGGAAACCAACACCGATGCCATCTTCAACTTTTTTAATGCCATCAAAGTATCCAACCTATTATAAAAATCTGCAAATACTACTGTTTTACCTATTTATTTAACATTACTATTTTATTTTATTTATCTACTTATTTTGTTTAATTCTCATGTTACTACGTACATAAGACTTTTTCAATATTTCTAATCTTTAATCTACCATTGTAAACCTTTTCAGGCTAATGACCTCTGATGTCGAAGCCTTATTTTTAATAAAAAAAAAAAAAAAAGATAACTGGTAATCTAAGAAGTAAGAAGTAAAAATATAATCAAGACGTTTAACATGTTTATTTTAAAATGACAAATTCAAACTAAAACACATATTTTTTACATATTATAAAGACTGACGATCCTATCTTATTATTATAGTGATGTAGGCAAGTATAAAGTTATTCAAAACAACGTATATGCATGCAGAGTATCGAAAAAACTTGGTTTGGCAGAATGTACAGTTTTATAATTTTACTTTGTCATGGGAAAAAAAGTATACTTAAAAAAAACATTATGACTTTCAAACTTATATCCAAAGATTATATAAAATTTTAAAAGTTATTCGTTGATATTATCTGTATCATTTCAAAATATTGGATTTTTAGAAACCAACAGATAAACACAATATAGTTTATATTACATATATGAAATTTGAATAGTAAAAACCTGCATTTCTATGATCGAAAATGAGTATCAGTCTCTAAAATACAGTCAAGCATGTCAAACCCTACTAGTATTGAGCATTGAAATATAAAAATGTATTCGTGGCTATAAAACAACAATGTATTTTATCAACACGTACCTATAGAGATTTGCATAAGAAGCTCACGTGGGATCAGACAAAATGACGAAAACAATTTACTCGTTCAATAATCCTACGTGTTTGTTAAAGCCGAGCCATTTTGAAATTACCTTTCGTCTACTCAATTGTGTTTTGTATTTTTAAGAACGAACCCCTTTATATTATACAGCTACCTATGTGTGCGGTTCAGTGTGTGCAGTTCAATGTGTGCCGATCGCTCACCGAATTTTACACTCCCAAATCTGTTTATACTAGATATAATGGAGTATTCTCTTTATCATATAATATGTCGTTTATACTCAAACTCACTCAACCTAATTTCTCAAAGAAAAAAAAATATTATTTCAAACTTCTGTTCGTCCAAATTAAATGTCAATAACACTAATATCACCAAGTAAAAAGTGAAAATTTGAAATCGAGATTTGTTAACGTGTACCTAATTGAACACATTTTATGTGAATGCAATAATATAATAAAATCATTTTTATTTTAAGAATTGCTTTTCTAAAGCTATTCATTTGATTTTCAACTTAATATTGCAAACTCGTCTGAAGATAACACGTTTACTTGTAATTATTATTTTTTTTTTGTACAACAGGAAAATAATATTGCCTATATTTATTAAAAAATAATATTTTATCAGAATATTAATTGCACACAATACAAATATCTTGTAATAAGCGTAGGGCTATACTATTAAATACCTGTGTCTTATTATTTTCGTAATCGGTTACACCTCACCTTACAATAGGTACAAGAGACATAATTTAAAATAAAATGTGTTGAAAAAAAAATTGTAAAAAAGGTGATAATTTATAGAAATTGCACAATACCGCATATAAAAAAAAACCTAAGCTGTATTATAATATATTGCCATATATCATATCATTAAGAGACTATTATCAAAACTTTCGGTGTTCTGACCGGGTGACACTATACACCTGCAAGTCGATATTGGCTCAACACCATTTAAGAACTTAGAATGTTGGATAACATTACAGAAATATAAGATATACCGGATGATATCAAGAAATGTACGTTGTCATTGTATACCGTAACCATTGTGCCTTTATCAACTAAACATATAATATGATACAAAGGTATGGACTCAAATAACCTCGGATGACCAAATAAACGTACGCGGAAATACGAGTAGATGCATTGTAGTTAACGATAACGACGAAGTACGCAATCCTAATGAATTTCTTAATTCTCATAATCCATCCTCACTGCTTCCACCTCACGTAATACATTTAATAATAATTGGTATTGCTATTATTTTGTTTCTGCGATATCTAACACCACCAAAGCTATAAACGGGCACTATCGATTGCACGTTTATACTCAACGGTGGTGGTGCAGCGGGCGAGCATGGGTGTATCTGTGTATCTGTATTGTGAGTCGCTGAGTCGACTGGACATATTAAATGGTACATTCTGGCGGTGGTGACATGATGCTGTTAGTTGTACTATACATTACAACGGGGAAAACTATTAAAACATTTCATTTTTATAAATGATGTCAAATAATCTTAAGGTGCTTACATAATCGAAATCAGATTAACAAAAGCCCCCCAATTTGTTTTCATAGTAGAAGGTCTAAAAACAATGTATATTATTGACAGACAAGAATCCACCTAAACAGTTAATAAATATTACAAAATAGTTGAAGATAAAAAATAATAGGGAAAATTTAGGCTCTTAGCTAAAAAATATATGATAAGATAACGCATAAAATAACTACCGAAACTTAAATTGTAAGAATAATTTATGTCAGTTGATTTACGAAGTTGTTAACATACTAAAACAAATTATAATTAGTATTTAATAAATATACTAAATAAATAACGAAATTATTGTTAAATAACCTATTGTTCAATCCAGTATACTTAGTTTTTCATCCACCTTTTTCTTACACATAATCGTGAGCTCATTATGATATTATGGTATAAATTTTATGAACTAACTAGAGGTTATTTTTTTATTTTAAATCAGTTTGAAATTTGGGATATATAAAAAAATTAATATATAAATATAATATTGAATATATATACGAGAACAAATGTTTTTATCAATGATTTTGAACTACCTACTAAATATTGTTATCCAAATATTTATCATTCAATAATTAAATTAATACATCACATTATAAATGCTGTTTAAATATGTAATCCATATCCCATAATACTTAGTTTAAATATTTAAAAAAACGTTTGATTTTTATTTTCAGATTGAAACTCTATGCTCGACTTACAACCCAAATGTGTTTATAGTTATGTATTCGGTAGTCGATGAGAGGAGTTTTGATATGGCAGAACAGATGTTACTGTTTTTATGGAAAGGCGAGTACATTCATACGAGAGGTGTGATATTGGTTGGCAACAAATCAGACTTGGAACGAACCAGAAAAATTCAAACAAATGGTTAGAAAATATTTTAATGACTTAATTTGTTAAACCTAACGATTTGTTTTTTAAATAGTTGGACGAAATTTGGCATACAGTTGGAACTGTAAATTTATTGAAACTTCAAGTGGTATCGATCATAATGTGGACAAGCTACTAGTAGGCATTTTGGCGCAAATCAAGCTGAATCCACTCAGGGAAAGGATGTATAATAGCAAAAGGAAAAAATATAGCGTCACAAAACTGTATAAGGACTTTTTAGCTTACTTAAGGGGTGTTAAGTCCAGTGAAAATTTGTTCAGTATTTAATTATTTTATTAACATGACATATTTTAATATTTTTCGTGGACCAATTTCTTTATCCAATGCCCAATTTATATCTCCCCCTCAAGTACAAAAATTTACAAATTTTATATAAAATTGAATATTACAAAAAAAATACATATTATCTAACTTTAGATGAAATAATATTTGTAAAATATATTTATGTCACATTGTTTTTATATTAAAAACCTCTCATCAATTAAGGTTTTCTTGGCCAAATTCCTTTTGCCAAATGTTGTTCTGATGACGCTCATTACCTATACATAATTCGAATAAGTATTAATATTTATCTAAGATAAATTGTATTTCTGATTTTGTAATACAATAAAAATCTTAAATATATTACATTTATAAAAGTAGTAAATAAATTGCATACATGTATCCAATTTAATATAACCATTATAATTTACAGCTATATTTATGTATACTTTTTTAAGCATAATTCCTGTGATTACAAACCTTTATTAAAAATCCTGTAATAATTCCAGCGAGCACTATATTTTCAGTAAGTACGTAAAAAAATGACAACATCATCAAGTCAAATATTACTAAAGTACACTCATTTCCATAAAAAATCACTTGATCAAATGAATGACCGTCATCTATAAAATAATTATTATACAATTCATAATATAAATATTACCTACAATGACAATTTTATAATTAGTACTCACCTATGAAAAATACTCCTTTGTCCAAAGGGTCTGAGTATTCAATTCCTAATAGCTTCTCGACGAAAGTCTTTTCGCGAATTTCATAATCCAAATCTTTCAAAGCCTAAAATAAATTGTATTAAGTCAAATTTATTTTGATTTTACAATAAAATTGTTAACACACGTGATCCAAGAAAGCTGCTAAGAATTTATTCATATTATTGTATGCCTGTCCAATTTTTACCATATCAGTTTTATCTACTTTTTTAATTCTAAACGACGAGCCTGAGATCTGTTTGGATTGGATCTAAAAAAAATTCAACAAAACAAAACCAGTTACACATTTAAGTATTAAATAATATGCGATCGTATTTACATTATTCAGGGGAGCCATAACTCTTCGATAGTATGTCTTCAAAGATGAAGGAACGGTCATTTCAAACGTTTGGTTCTCTGTACCTGGCATCAAACCTCTGTGCCTTACCATATTGTCTTCTTCTCTTCTCAGTTGACCAATCAAACTCTCCATGTCAGTATCCGAAAATCCATGGGCAGACCTATGTACAAATGATACTTGAAGAATCAGCCCTTCGCAATGTTCGTCTGAACGTCATATAATAATAAATAATATAACATTATAACGCACGGGGCAACTTATTTACCTGCCATGTATATAGTAACCAAAAAAATCCGCAGACAAAATGAACACGCTGATATTGGCCAACGAACAGATATCGACAAACTGCTGTATACAATTCTTTATGTACCTCTCATATATTGCTACTGTCGTTATCCACTGTACGTAAAAAAATGAACATTTTGAATTATAACAAATTAAATAACAATATTTTTTATCCAAGCTACTAATTTCAAACCTAATTTTTCTAAACTACATTTGACATTAAATTAACGAAACATCATTTTAGAGTGTGATCTAGCTAGTAATTACACGTTAAAGATTAATATTAAATTGATCACCGTACTTTTGCATATTAAAAATTAAATAGAAATTCCAAATGTTTACTTTATTTAGTGAAACTCAATATTACGACAATTTTATCATTATCAGTGACAAACACATGCTCTTCAGTTTAATGAGTATATTTTCCTTTTATAGAAGATAACACTTTATTATTATTTAAATATTAGTTATTGTGAATACTAAATTGTTTCAAACAATTTATTGTGTGTACATTATGATGGGCCTATAACATGAACTCTGATATTAACAAATTTTTATTTCTGGATTTTGAATATTATTTTTATTAGTTAGGTATATTGGTATATATAATATTTTGCATTATAATAACGGCAGAGTTAATATTTCTATGCATTAGCGTATTTTTTCCCTTTAATCCAATTACAATGACTGTCAGTTATGACCATGATTTGGCTCATACTGTATTATTTAAATCAGTCTTAAATAGCATATTTTTAGTTTTTGGATATTTTATTAGATTAAAAATCTGTAAAAATTCGTATTCGTCGTAAATAAACTACATATTTTAATTTTGTTCATTTAGAGATTATTTTGTAAATGGAGTTTTTCCGTCAATAAAAAAATATAAGAAATATATACTTATGAAAGCTGTCATATTCGGTGAATAAAAGATTCAAAATTTTCATAGGCGTGAACGCGTTTTTGCTGTTTATATACAACATTTTAAATTTCGTGTTTGAAATTTAATGGAACATCATTATAAACAATTTATATTTTTTCAATTTATTTATAATAATCAACTGGCATAAGCAATAAAACATTACATCAGTAATATATAATTATTGACAATTGACATAAAAGAAACTAAGAGACATATTGATAATAATACCAATGAAACTAACAGAGGGGCCTGGTGTAGCTCGATGGTTGGCCTTAGTCATTAATGTGTTCTGAGGTCAAGCATCGGCAGGCGCTGCTAGTTTCCGGATGGGTGACCACTCAGGTTTTTAGTGACGAATCCTCGACCCCACATACACGAGTTACTCAAGCAACCGTAACCCAACCAACAAAATGCTAATGGCCTTAGTTGCCGATGTTTGAGATCAATAAAAAACTAACAGGGACAGAAATAAAAATTAATTAGATAAAAATTAATATAAATAATGAAGCTCTATGTTTTAAAAATAATAATATTTCAACTTATAGATAAAACAAGAAATTTAGAAAAATGCCTCAAGTTAAAAGTGAGAGTAAGTAGGCCAAATTTTTGAAGAATTTTCAAAACAGATGCCAAAATAATTGATTACCAGCCATATTATTTGCAATTCATTTTTATATAAAAATTGTGTGATAGAATTAAAACATTTTTTTTACACATTTAAAAAAATAAAATGTATATTTTGCGTTTTTATATTTTATGAAAAGTTCTAGCTATCAAAAACTCAAAATATGCAATGTTATGCATTTTTATAAGATAAACTATAATATACTAAATGAAAACTGTTCTAGGTATAGCTGCTAACCAAATAACCAATGTATATATTTAGATCAAAGAAAAAAATATGCTAATGCATAAAAATCCTAGCTTTACTGTTATTATATAACACATGTCACATCGATATAATAAAAATAATATTCAAAATCACGAAACAAGAAATCGATTACTATCACCGATTACTATTCCAAAAACTACGTCATATCAATACTTCGATGGATAAAATAAAATTTGAAATAGACAGGAAAAACTCACATACGATATAGAAGATAGAACACATCGTTTTTGGGAAGTGAATTAATTAAGATTAATAAAGACAAATGCTCCATTTCACACCTGCCTACGTTCTTCAAATAAATTATTTAGTTTGTAAAATGTTTGGGTTAGAGTCATCATTAAATAACAACGAAACTGTTGACAACAATCTCGAATATTATGGTTTGTGTATGCTTTAGGCGTTAACTTCATTGCAAACAATAAATCACAAAAATAAATGAAATGCATAACCATGGAATTTTTCTTACCTGAACTATGTACACAATACTGAACACGATGACAAGCATACCAAATTCTAAAAGTTGACTAGTCGGTCTATACGGAACTTTGGTTAGATGCACTTCGGGCTCAGCCACAGCCCAATTTTCCAACCCATAAATCTAAAACAATATTTTTAAATAAAAAATTGTTTTCTAGTAATATAAACTTAAATTGCTGAGGATTTACTACAATATTATTTTTAATAATCTAGGCAGTTTAATATTAATATGATGAAATCGTGAAGTTATTAGGCTATATTTTCGAAACTAAGTTCGAAAGCCAAATTCTGACTTCTCCTGAGTTCTCCATCGTTTTCAGTAATCTGACTACATAAGTTAAGAAATGAATTGCAAAAAAAGGGTGTCCGATAAAGTAACAAAATACCCTAATACCTAAGTATCAAACAGTTTTAGGATTTCACACAACTGATGATCCGACAAACTCAATTTGTGAACAAATAACTCATGCGAATTATTGACATTTAACTTATTATATTTTATGCTGTTCAAAAAATCTACATTATTAAAAATACTTTATGAATATGTACATACTTTTAAGAGGAGTATAGTAAACAAGAGTTGCAAGGGCAAACTAATTTTTCTTTTCGTCTGTATTTCAGCCCATTCGTTTGCTACAAAATAGCTTCTCCATATGCTTACAGTTTGCTTTTGTGTAGCCATTATGCCATTTTGTTTCTGATTTGGTGATATTCTAGGTTTTTCCCAATCTACTAAAAATATATCAATAGTTGTTTGTTTCCATATTAATCGTACAATTTCAACAATCTGCAAAATACATTAACATTAATGATTTATTTATACTTTATATAAGTTTTTGATATGTAAATATTAATCTATATTTTATAAGTATGCTGTATGCCTTAAATAGGTACCTGCCTAATAAAAATCGCATGCCCGCCCATGAATGTATTTACATATTAATATATTTTATCAAAACAAAGAAAAACTTTTAAATAAAATATGAATTCTGTTGAGGTTTACTTTTATATAAGTATAAGTACGAATATAAATAAGAATACATAAATAACATAATATAGGATATACTTATTCAAATTATTGCTCGAAACACTTTTTATACAACAAAAGTTGAATAAGAAAAAGCTTAATAATGTTCAAATCAATTTTAATATCTACAGAGTTAAATAAAAGGTCTTAAGGGACGAATATAATATTAAAGAAAATACATATGACTATATGAGTTATATAATTATTTAATTTGGTTTAAGTTAAAACTATACATCTTAACAAAACATTCCATATAATTGGTTTTAAAAAGTCACTTTCAAATACTCCATTCAAATGTACAAAACTCATGGTAGTATCATAATGAACCTTCCTCTTAGGTGGAGACGAACTGTCCGACTAAA